TTTTTATGTACCCTCCCCCGTAAAGATTGATTGAGCTTGGATTGTTGGACGGGTATTCTTCTAAGTCTATTCCCCCTCCCTTCTAAGTCCAGACGAGTGAGAGATGATCAGAAGGAAGAAGGATAGAGGTCAATTGGAATGGAACCAAGAGAAAGAATGTGGACAAATGGGTGGCCGACCGAGGGAATTATGGGAAAAGAGGTACTTAGGAATTGGAAGGTAGATTAGGGAGACCTTAATGGGGGGTCTGAAATAATCCTCATTTAAGAAAAGGGGTTGCCCTGACCAGAAGAACCGATTGGTACTCTTTCATGAAAAACAGGGGCCGGGTGCTAGAAACAAGATGGCGCGATGGTTGTCTCCCCCGACTTATACCAGCGGTCTAGAGATGCCAGTAGACGTAAAGGATGGGGTGTCGGTCGTCCTCCCGGAAGATGGGGCGTGGACGGACCTTGAACCAGCATATTAAACCGTGATGCTGTATGAGAAAGACGCGTTCCTATGGATAGAGACGATATGGGCTAATGTTAGCTTGACAAGGTTGTCACCAAGTTTAATGGATTTGGAGTTCCGAGGAACAGTGGAAGCTCGGGGGTGAGTCTACTTGTCGCAAGATGGGAAAAATGTTATGGTCATAGAATTGGCACTCAGGAATACGCCGGACGAATTGTTTAAGAAGGCGGAAGCGGAGGTCGTGTGGGCTGCGTGGCAGCGAAGGGAGATGGAAATGGAGAGGGTAGATGTGCGGGTGGAACTTGGGGATAGAGGAAGCATGAGGCGACCCGTAAGAACCATGCGGTGTGTGCTGCCTCCCTTCCTAGTGGATGCGGTTTTCGGAACTTGGAGCAGGCTAGTACGGATATGTCAGTCCATGATGAACCTCGGGCTATACCAATGCGCTAGGCAGGATTTCTTTCGGTTGTTAGTAGAAATGGGGCCGTTTGAGGGGAACAGGGCGGACGAACTGACCGAAATACTAAGTTGTCTTAGCTTAGACAATATCTATGTCTCTAGCCCTGTACATTGGGGGATAGTGTATAGAAATGTGGCAATAGGGGAGATATTCCTAGAGGGGGTGAAAGAGTTGTTCTACGACGGAGAGGACGATTTCAGTGATGAGGACGAGGATGAGGAGATAGAGGATTGAGACTTCTGAGAGGAGTGGGGAAACTTAACTTAGGGAGGACGGGTGGCCTGGTATTGTGCAGGAAAGGGGAAGATGACTAGAGAAGAAAGGATGATGGAATACCCCTTCAAAGGCTGGGAACCACGGCGACTCAGAGGAGGAATAGAAATACCTATACCAATAGGGAACGGATGGAAAGGGACCACGTGCGATTGGATTGGGCTTGAGGTTGCCCGGGACTTGTCATATGTATGGATAGAGCGGATTTGGAACCCGATAAGGGAAGAGGAAGGATGGGATGATATAGCAGAAGGCAAGGTAGAGTCAGTTGGAACGATTGTCCTTTCCGAGGATGGATGACACCTGTTTTGCACCATGTTAGCAATGGGACAAGACCCGATGTGGCTTCTAGGGGATGCAAAGGCCCGAACCCGAAAGGAAGGCAAGCTGTTCGCCAACGAGGGATGGGACGAAGTTAGTAGCAGAGTTGTCATGGGAGGATGGAAGGAACTCAAACCTCCAAGTCTACGGATAACGGCTTGGGTACCGAAATTCATAGCCGAGTGGTTTGGGGGGTTAAAGCACATTTTACAAGTAGCCGACTCCATGAGAAGGGTGCATATAAAGTGTGTCTGGTTGACTGAGGAGTTCTATAGGCTCTCATTTAAATATGGGCCCTTCTACGGAGATAAAGTCGGGGAAGTCATCATCGTCCTAAGAATAGGCAAGTACGACCGCCTAGAAGTAAGCGCGAAAGCTTGGGACGCCATAGTTAGCCGGGAGGCGGAGGCGGCGGCCGCGCCATCCTATGTGGACGATGTCTTTTTGCTGTTTGAGGTGCGGTGGCTTGATTAGAAGGGTTCAAAGTTCGAGCGCCACGGGAAGGACGGAGTATGGAGGATGCATGTGATTTAGGATGTGACATAAGAAAGGATACATTAGTCAGCAAGGGACGCGAGGAGGCCAAAATAAAGGCAGATATGGAAACGGGATAGCTGCAAGAACCTGTGTACGATAAGTAGGGGGGGTTGAAGACGAAAGGCGTGGAATCTCGGTGGGTGCAGCAAGCAGACTAAGAAATCGGGAAAGGAAACACTGCGAGATGGTCTGGCAAATGACGTTCTGGGAGGATAGACCTCGTGGGATCCTGCCACCAAGAATATCAGAAGGCAGGGTCGAAATAAGCCTGCCGGCAAGAAGTACGGTAGGCAATCCGGTGATGGACTAGGTGGGGGTAGAGTTGGTGGAAGATACGGTGTACCTAGTAGTGGAGTTGGAATGGCGTGCGAGAGGGGAGTTCGGGGGCGTAGACTTGAATCGCCCGAGGCGTGTACATGCGACGGGATCCTTACACCTGTCGGAAGAGGGATGGCGGACCTTTGGGATTGCTTTGGCTTCCGGGGATGACCCCGTGCGAATGTTCGAAGGGGCATGGCAAATAACCTGGCGGGAGGGGTTTGAGTTTGCAGACCCGGGACGAGATGACGTAACGGCGGAGGTAGAAACCGCCGCGGCAGGGGTCTTTAAGCTACCAAATGAGGTCGTACGGATGAGTCTACCGCCCTTCCTGCTAAGACAAATGGGGGGCATAGAACGAGTAGAGCAGGCGGTGACAGTCGTAACGAGGTTAAATTTTGACGAAGCATTAATGTACCGAGAATATTATCGGGCCTTTCTAGAGATGGGGCCTTTCGGGGACGAACAGGGCCGCGGAGTGCTTTGCATTCTACGAGCGGCAATAGATACTAGGCCGGGAGTCCCACAAATAAATGACGAGACCTTGTGGGGAGTCATCCGGCGGGAGGTAGGCCGGGGCGCGACCTACATAGACGACTTGTACCGATTGTACGAACAGCCAGAAGAGGCTACTGCTCCCGGAGGTGTGGAGGGATAGTTGGAACCAGAAAAGAAAGTTGAAAAACACGAAGGGCAAGGGGGCAGTAGGTGGACGGTTTCTAAGGATTGGCTGTAACACTTTCTATGTGGATCATGCAGGAAATCACCAAGATAACCATGGCAGCAAGACGTGAGCATATGGAACTTCAGGCCCGTGTGCGAATGGCGCGCCAACCCCGATACCCCGGACCGCCGTGGGATAACGGTGGACGCTGGGAAGTATCCCTCCCGTCGAGTTCAACTTATCGGGGGTTTGATATAGAATGGCGGGCTGTGACTTTGGGGAGGGACGCCGCCTTCATGTTGGTAGAATGTCGGTGGACAGGGATGAGACTCGACCGAGGACCCGGGGACGATCTGTTTTCCAATCTGGAAGTTACCGGGACCATGTATCTGCCTAAGATCGGCTGACACTCGTTGGGGGTAGAGATAGCACAAGGTCACGAGTTGGCGCCGGTTTTTCAAAGGGCCGCCCGGACGTTGACCCGGATAGGACAATCAGTCAGGGGTAGAAGGAACGTGGGCTCACTTACCCGGGTGGAAATGGGGGGATGGCATGAATTCAGAGCACCAACCACGCCGCTGAGGTGCCGGGTCCCCCGTTTTATGATAGATCTCGTCTTCGGGAGCCTCGCAAGGGCGCGAGAGCTGGCAGACTCGGCAATAATGTGGGCAGACCACTTTCCCTCTCTGACCATCGGGATGTTCTATGATGTCGCCGTGAGGCATGGGCCGTTCTGGGGAAACAGGGCCCACGAGTTACTGGAGGTCATCCATATCCAGATATTCCGGGCGCCCTGGCTAGACCAGACAGGGCACGAACGCATAATCCAAAGGGAAATCGAGATAGGAGAGAGCTATTTGGCAGGGGTGGCTGAGCTATTCGAGGAGCCGACCGAACCAGAAGAACCACGAGGGCGCGAGCGGGACTAGGATCCGCAGGCAGGCGAATAGGGCAGATCCAGTATAGTTCGCTGCGTACGGAAATCCGCCGATGGGAATAAGCAAGGTGTCTCGGACCCGGATGGCTAAAACCCATTAGGAAAACAAAGAAGGGGGTAGACTCCTAATGATTGACCATAACCCTGAAGGTCAAAAACAGGAAACACTGCTTGGAAAGACTTTCCTTAGCAGAATGCCTAACCCGGAGTCCCTCGCATCGGCCCGACGGGACAAGGGCACGACAAACAGGCTCGTGATAAAAGAAGCCAAGTCACGCTCATAGCTCAGCTGAGCGGCAGGGCCAGTCGTGGCTCCTCCTTAAGGAAGGGCAATCAGGAAACGAGGATGGGAAAGGAGGCTATACAGATAAGCCAACAGGGCTGGGAGCCTAGGAAACCTAAAATACCTCGCATTGCGTGTGTCCTGGGAATTCTTTGGCTTATGCAGAACTAGGCAAATGGCAACGGAGGAGGAGACAGATAATCATAAGAGTGAAGAATAACCGGGTTTAGGAGGCAGTGCCGCACAAAGCGGGATGCAGAAGGACAGAGAATCGATAAATCTGGATGGTACCAAAGGGAACCGGAAGGAGATCTCCACAGGGGAAAGCACGGGGAAACTGGGGGAAGTAGGCAGGGGACTCGGGGGACCAAGGAGGGCAGGAATAAGGATAGGACAAACCCTGGGAACTCGGAGGGAGCCGTGTCTAAGAAAGTAAGAATCACGGATACGAGGCGCAGACTAGCCGAGATAGACAAAAGGACCGCGGAATACAAGGCGAGATTGATTGAGGAAATGATGACTGGGAACGAAGAAGGTTCTCTGCAGGAGGAACCCCGAGACGAACGGAGAACCGACCGAGGTGGGACTGGACAAGGGGATAAAGATAGTGACCATGGGGGAACGTCGAGCAAAAGAAGGAAAGAAGGGGAGAACTCTCCGGGGATGGACGCGGAAAAGGCTACGACCCCGCCAGCCATAGATAGTAGGGCTAGCCGCCTGCCGACCACGCCAGCAGTGATGCGAGGGTGCGAAGGACTCTGGAGCCTTGGGGAAAGAGTGTTGGGATGGTTTGACCCAGAAGGAACTACGAAAACCAGGGAGGGACAGAAGGCCGGCAAGGAAGGTCCGGATAACAGTGTGACAGGCGAGGCCAGCAGCTCCGAGGGCGGCCTTAAGAAGATAGTGTCGTCCCTCGCGCGAGCACTAAACAAAAATCAAGGCTACCTAGCGGATGCCAAGAAAAAGTTGACGTTTGATGGGGCGAACATCACGCAATTCGTGATAGATTATGAGAACCTGGCTGCGCTGTTGAAATGGACCGAAGAGGAGAAGATGAACCACTTGGGACAACAAGTGTCTTTGAGCCTAGGATGGGACATAATGCCCATCGTAGCCGCAAGCCGGTCTTGGAAAGAAACCCAGGATGTAATGATGAGAAAGTATCTGGCAGCAGAAAAGATGGCAAGGGGGAGCGATTTAGCGGCAGTCCAGAGAAAGAACTTCGCAACGTACAATGATTTCCTATGGAAGTTTACTTTGGTAGCACTAAGAATCCCCGGGGTTACGGATCGAATAATGAGTAAGTATTTCCTCAGACAGTTCTCCGAGTTCGACAAGGACAAGATCCTGTCGGCTTACCAACAAACGAGAAAATTTGTAAACATCAGGGATGTTGATTTCAGTACGGTAACGGATCTGGCCGAAAAGACGGTAGTGACCGAGACATTGGCCTTGCTTAAGGAAGGGGAGATTATAGACTTGACCAGTAGGACGGGCGACAAGGTGAAAAAGGGGATGTAAAGCCTACAGTCGACAACAAGATTGAAAGGATGTAGAGCGCACGACTAGTTATGCAGGCTTAAGTATCTCGTCCCCCCCTCCCGCCCCAGGAAGCAGTAGTTCCGCCAGGGGTGGCCAATCGTGGATTCGGACGGAGAGATCCCGCTAACGAGCAATGCAAGTATAGTACCGCGATAGGACATTATGTGCGTGCGTGTCCAAAGCTCAACCATGATATTCTAAAAAGAAGGTGTACCAGGTCATTAAAGGGGGATATATTTTGACCACAAGGGGAACGGGTGAACTGGAACTCACCAGGAGGGATGCGGCGAGCCATTATCATGCTCAACGGGCTAGAAATAACAGCCGTAGAAGCCGAACCGGTGGGCGAGATCATCTGGGATCAACGTCAGGGGCGCGGGCCGCAAGTCAATTTCATTTTGGAAAACGACGAACATGATAAGGTGAACGCGACTACTCGGCTAGGGACAGTTGGGAGAAGGATTAACCGTGACACCGTAATGGAGGAGGTTGCTGGAAGTTCGGAACCCCAAGCAGAGCCTGAGGCCGAGGAACCAGAAAAGGTCTATGGGAAACCTAGGGAAGAGGAGCCTACAGACAAAGTTTCTGCTTTTTTTAGGTACCAAATCCCGATCTTATCCTCACCTGAGATCGATGACACCATTAGCAAGTTACTAGGGACCATGGTGTCGGTATCTTTTCAGACTATGCTGCAGGCTAGCCCTAGGTTGCTCAAAGGACTTAAACAACTGTTGACCCGGCGGTGAGTAAAAATAGGCGACAACCCCAAACTACCTGAAGGGGAGAGGGAGGAGGAAGCTCCGCAAGAAGTAGCTAACCTTCAGAGGAGTCGCGGGGACTTGGAGGATCTCGAGAAAGCTTTTGCGGACATTCGTTTGAGTTTGCCCGATGGAGAGGGCGGCGAGGTTATGAGGTCACCTCCCGGGACAAAGCTTAGCTTTCATGCACTGCCCGTAGGGAAGCTGAAAATCCAGATCGGGACTCATCATACCGACGCGTTAGTAGACAAAGGGGCAGAAATCACCCTTATAAGAAGAGTTTTCGCAACGATCACGGGATGTACGGTAAACAAGGAAGTAATAGGGAGCATCCGGGGAGCTGGCGGGGAAATCCCGTTCGCTGGGTACGTCACGAAGTGTGCTGTAAAGGCAGGGGTCAGGGAATCAATCTAGTCATTTCAGCGGATGGCCGTAATGGAGGAAATGGATCATGACATAATCCTTGGGAGACCGTGGTGTGCGAACGTAGAGATGATAGACATGCACTTGCACGATGGCTCATACATGGTAGACATAGAGGACCCGGTGGCCGGCCGGGGAGAGCTCCTCCGACTCCTTGGAACGGGAGGAGACCCCCCGAGGGGGAAATTGGCAACATGGTCGCCGTCATTCGAGGATAGCACGCGAAAAGAGGCTTTCGCACGGATGGAAGGTATGAGAAAAATTGTAGAAATCATGTGAGGAAGCGTTCAACAAGAAGGAATGGATCAAGATGGGCCTGCCCCAGAAGAAGAGGAGGCAAGAGGACAAAGTCCTAGGTGTTATGATAGCAGAAAAGGATTCAGAGGTCGAACTTGGTGCTAGCCTGCCCAAACGAAAAGAAGTGCGAGTAGACATGCCGGAAATCGCACTCGAGATCCCCGATCTATTGCAACTCATCAAGGCCCTCAGATACCACAAGGTAGGAGTGGATTCGGTAGCCTTGGCCAAGTTCGAAAGAGAGGTGCAAAAGGGATATTGCCTGAATGGGAAATTAGCTAGCATTCAACCACGAGTCATAGAGGCGGCGGAGCCAATTCCGGCTGTTCATTTTTTAGGAGAAAGATCCCGGAAGGAAGTGTTCGAAAGTACAAGCCGGTAGGGAAGAAAGCAAAACCAGTCTCGATCCTACTAGAGACATCAAAGGAAGAGGCTATGGAGAAGGAGGAAGAGGTCCTTAGAGTGATCCGAGAAAGAAGGGCGACGGAGGGACATCAGATACCAGATGAGGTAGCGGACACAATGAAGATAGGGATAGACGGGTTCTTAACGGAAGAAGAAAACCGCCTGATCAAAAGGACCTTCCAGGAACTTCATCTGGCGTTTGCCTTTAGTGATCACCAGAAGGGACGACTGGATGCGAAGTGGATCCCTCCGGTCAGAATCCACATGGTATAACATGAGTGCTGGAATGACAAGGGGTCATCCTATGAATTTGGGATAGCGGGAGAGGTAACAGACTTCCTCCGAGCGAAGATGGACTCCTTCGTTGCGGAGCCTACGCATCGCCATATGCAAATCGGTGGTTCGTCTTTCGGAAGCCTAACAAGACACTAAGGTGGATTCAGGACCTGCATAAGTTGAATGCGGTAACCATCCGGGATGCTGGCTCACTACCTCAGACTGACTTATTAGCAGAATCGCACGCCGGTCGGAGCATTTACTCCCTGATAGATCTTTACTCAGGGTACGACCAGCTTCTATTGGATGTTCGGGACAGGCCATACACCGCTATGCACACCCCCGTAGGCCAGCTACAGATGCAGGTGACACCTATGGGATTCACAAACGCGGTGGCCGAAGCGCAACGCAGGATGCTCGCCGTGGTCGGGGACATGTTCCCAGAAAAATGTGAACCTTACATCGATGACAATCCGATCAAAGGCGCGCAGGAAAAGGACGAGACGGAAGTCCAGCCGGGGATCCGACGTTTTGTGTGGGACCGCCTGCAGGACATCAAGGACTTACTCCGCCGGTTCCTAGTATACAACATTACGGCTAGTGGACCAAAGAGTATCCTAGCAGTACCAGAGGTAACTATACTAGGATTTTGTTGCGGTGCTTACGGCATAAAGCCGGATCCGGCAAAGACCGACAAGATATCACAGTGGCCGACGCCACTGCGCACGACGACGGAGGTAAGGGCATTCCTAGGCGTAGTCGGCTTTTGGAGGATCTTCATTAAGAACTTTGCCAAGATTGCTGAGCCTATCCGGGCTATGATAAGGGAAGAAGGAACCATAGATTGGACGGAGGAGCGAGAAGGGGTTGTTCAAAGGCTCAAGGACATATTGACATCTGAGACAGTCGCCCTGTCCCCGCCTTGTTTTAATGACGAAGTGGGACGACCCTTCATCCTAGAGACGGATGGAGGACCTTTGGCCGTAGGAGGTGTGTTGATCCAAAGGGATGAGGGAAGAAAAGAGAGGCCGATTAGGTTCGAAAGTAGAACCCTGAACTCCGCAGAACGGCGGTACTCGCAATTCAAGAAGGACGTCTGAGTCATACTGCATTGTCTTAAGACCTTCAAGGCCTACCTATTTGGGAGGCGTTTCATCTTAAGGATCGACCCGACGAATGTCGCAGGGGCCCTAAAGAATTACAGGCCTATAGATCCGACGGTAGGGAGATGGGAAGGATTCATCTGGCAGTTCGATTACAAGATCGAACGGATTGCTGGAATCCGCAACAAGGCAGATGGGCTGAGTCGGGTTTGCATCACCCCCGAAGGGATGGAGGATGCAAAGCCCACAGACGTCTTCCTCGAATACGAAGGAGGAACTCTTGCGGTGGATAACGAAATGATGAGCGAAGAATGCACATCGGGAGAACTATTGATCCAAACTTTGGAGAAAGGGGCACCTGCCGTAGTAGCAGAACTTAGAGAAGGACCAGTTACCACTCGAGGACGCAGAGAAGAAAATGACTCATGGGGAGCGATAGTAGGACCGAAAGAGGAACTAATAGTAATGGCGGTCGAAGGGGGTCGGGAAGCAGTGATGAGCTTAATGGAATCTTGGGAAAGGAAAGAGTTGCAATGAGTGGTAAATCAGATGCAGGAAGGAAAGGATGGGGACAAGGAAGGAGAGGAGTTTTTCTATGCCCAATCATACGAAGGGCTCTTTCGGGAGATCGGGTTGTTGTTGGTAGGAAACAAACAACCTACGGAAGTCAGTATTAAGGCAAGGGAAGAAGCCGAAAGGTACGTCCTAAGGGGCGGGCATTTGTTCCGGAGGGAGTAAGGTGCTATGCCCAGAAAAGTTGTATGCGGAAGATCTAGGCAAGTAGACGTTATCTAGGCAATGCACGACGGCTTAGCTGGAGGTCATCGGTCGTCCAAAGGAACACTTGCAAAGATAACGTCGCTCTATTATTGGCCAGGCATGGCAGGCATGGTCGCCGTATAGTGCCAGACTTACCTTATTTGCCAAGAACGAAGCTCGGTACGAGTCTTCGAGCCGCTTAGACCAATGTCGGTGTTAGGGCCGGGACATCTGGTCCACCTCGACCTTGCGGTCATGCCTGTATCAACGGATGGATACAGGTATATCCTAGATGCGCGAGACAACTTGAGTGGGTTCGTGGAGGCAGCCGCCCTCAAGAAAAAGACAGGAAGGAGTGTGGCGGACTGGATAGAAGACTTTAACTTAAGGCACCCGTTCGTCAGGAGGTTTATAGCAGACAATGGGACGGAATTTGTGAACCAAGAAGTATTGGGGATGCTTAAGAGACTCTGCGTACCGATCAAACTCATCGAGCCATATCACCCTGAGGCCAATGCACCGGTGGAAAGGGGGCACCGAACCTTGAAGAACACGATTGCAAAGCTCGCAGCAGACCATCTGGGGAGCTGGCCTAGGTATCTTAAGCAGGCTGTCTTTGGAGAGAATATGACTCCTAAAATGACAACAGGATTTATCCCGGCAGAGCTTTAGTACGGAAGAGGGATCGACTTTCCTGTGAAAGCCTTGGTACCTACCTGGAATAAGTTAGATGATGATCCGCAAATGACCACTGAAGAGTTAATCGAGGCAAGATGTCAACAGATCCTTAAGAGTGAGGAGGTCATGGAAAACATCGCCAGCTGGGTGCTGGACAGCAGAATGAAGGACAAAGCAAGATGGGACCAGGTTAAGAATGTCAGAAAGGAGCCACTTCAGGTGGGGGAGATGGTACTGCTAAGGAACTCGACACTAGAAAGTACTTGGTCGGGACAGTTAGGATGGAGGTTCAAAGGCCCCTACCGGGTCGCTAAGCGGATGGGACTGAACACCTTCGAACTGGAAGATTTGGATGGAACTGGATTGAAAGTGCCCTTCCCGGGGCAACGACTGGTCAGGTTTCTAAGTCGGGTCCCAGTGGAACAATGGCTTCAAGAGGCCGAAGATAAGGAAACAGAAGAGCCACAAGCTCAAGGCTAACCACAGCCTTGCCCACACTATGTTTTGTCTCTGACCACGTTCGTGGGACTGTCATTTTTTTGGGACTGGTGCTTTGGCTTGGACTGACTGAGGTTGAAAGGTAGCATGACTTGAGGGTTGCAATATCTGGCTTGTGTGACAACGGGAAGGGATGTCTGGGGCATTATACCATAGTTTTTGACAGGACAAATATGGGGTCATCACGAACGACGCATTCGCATATATAAAAAGGGCGTGATGCGAGGGATACTAGGTGCATTTTGGGAATGTCTACCGGCCTCAGGGGGGGGGAGGCGTAAGTGTATGAGGGGCATTGCGGGTATTGTTTTGTTATACAGGGCTTAGGAGTAAAACGAGAAAAGACAAAAATGGAATTCGGCAACGAGAACGACAGCGGGGCAATCAACAGGCCTACCGGAGGGGAAGAAGCTGGACCAAGCCAAGGGAGGAGGACAACGAAGAGAAAATTGTACATTGGGCTCATGGGCGGGTCAGTGGTAGGCAGGGGTGGAAGGAAATGTTTGTGTAGGAAACCCTCACCCCTCCGCAAGGGAGAAGGTATAGAAATATCATCTCACAGTGAGGGCGAAAAGAGAAGGGTAAATGTGGAAGAAGGAGGCAACACAAAAATGGGAGATACGGCTCGGGTCTCTAACGAGGAAGGGGCCAATAGGGGCGAACGACGTCAGACTTGGCATGGGGAAAGCGAGGGGGGACAAGGTATGCGTGACGAACGTGAGGAGGACGAGGAGAAAAGAGAGAGCCCGCTTGAAGGACGAAGCGGTCACGGCAGTTGCGAGGGGTATAGGACGGGGACAGAGATCCCTTTTACCTACGATCCAAAGAGCCTTGTTGGTGGGTATAGCCCCATACAGATTGAAGACGAGGGGGATGAGGAGAAGGATGTGCGAGAAGTTATAGAAATCAGCAGCGGGGATGAAATCTCAAGGCCTAGGGAAGAGGGGCGGCCTCCGATGCACCAGCCAGGCGATGGGGCTTTCAGATGGGAGGACGAGTTCGGGCCAACGCCCAGTCACTGGTTTCAGCAATGGACCAATGTAATCAGGCACGAATGGATTATCAAGACTCGGGCACTCGCAAGGGCAGTGGTGGAAGCCACACCACTGAATTTTTTCAACGAGGCTGAGTTGCATAAAATTGTAAGGATGAAAAGAGAGATCGAAACCTACGGTCTGGGGGTTAGGAAGCCTGCCGAGGAACAGAGTGGACAAGGAACTAGGCGAGACGAGGC